GAATTAGAGAGGGAGTTTTGAGAGAGATTTTCCTCCATTAATGTGAGAGTTCTTAGGCTTGCTCTATGCAAGTCTAGAGTGAGAGTAATGTGATTTGTATTTACTATTGTGTAAAGAGTTGCAGGAAAGGAGCAAAAGATTTGGGTAAAACATTCCCAATACGATTGAGGGAGAGAAATAAGTTTATCTGTGATTTTTGTTTGTAATACTCTTGTATGTTGAATCTCTTTAATTCAATAAATGTTTGTTGTGTTTTATCCATGAATTCTGAGTAGAATCCCTTGCTTTTCTTTGTGGTGATATAGTAAACATGTAGGATTATTGAATTGAATTTGAAATAGTCTTTTGTCTATATTTAAGTTGGTTTCCTTTTGAACTTAATTTACTTTTCAATATGTCCAAACTGATTTGTTAAAACATGTTGTTAACCCATAAGGAACTCAAAAGAGCTATGGCATAAACGACTAGGAAATCACATTGAACTATGATGTATGAATCAAAGTAACTTATAGAGAGATGTAAATGTTAGGGAAAGTTTATTGGTGCTTAACTTAGAGGTTTCTAGGGTGACAGTCTAAGCCAATTACTTAAGTTAATCATAACTTATTTACAAGCTCGGAAGAGGATAAGCAAGATTTATGCTCCTATTTATCACATGCTTTACTTTATTTTGTATTTCTTTCACATCTACATTATACTATAATCACCACAAGGAATAACACTCTTAGCACTTGGTAAAAATAAATTTTCATAGCATAGTTAGAATTTCTATAGAAATAATTTTATAATATTATGGTAGGATTGATAGCATAACTAAAGTAACTCAAAATTTCAAACTAAGAACAAATTTTGTAGACTAGAACATTGTCCTATTTAGGTTTCCATTGTTCCATGTGTGTTCGACATCTCAGACTTTTTTAGAGTCATATATTACTGAAACGATATGTATACTTGCGTAAGAAATCATGATATGCAAAAATATTTCAAGAATTTAATTAATTTGTTGATAAACGAATCAAGATTTCCAGTGCTATTATCAGGACTAACACAATTGTGACAAACACATTATCGTAGGATCATTTATCCAATGACAAACTATGCTTCTTTCAGTAGATTATCGTCAACCTACAGAGCATTTGTTACGGGCCTGACCAATCACCAGCTTTCATCTACTATTGAGGTTATCTTAGTAGACCCAGCCTGGAAAGTTGTCGTCATTGAGGAGATGAATGTCCTTAAGCAGAACTATACTTGGGACATTGTTGATCTTCCTTAGGGCAATAAAGCAGTGGGATGTCAATGGATTTTTAGCATCAAGTTTAAATCTAATGAATCTTTTGAACGCAATAAGGTGTGAGTGGTCGCCACAGGGTACTCACAAACTAGGGTTGTAAACGGGCCAAGCTTGAGCGAGCTCAAGCTGGGCTCGTGTTCGACTTGTTCGAAATTGTTCGTGTTCGAAATCGGCTCGCATTTGAAAACGGATTGTGAACAGTGTGTTCGTTTTTAGCTCGATTTAAATATTCGTGTTCGTGTTCGGCTCGTGTTCCACTCAAAATTGACTCGTTAAAATTAAACTGAAAAAATAGATGTAGAGTGCTGGATTCGAACCTGAACCAAATGTATGCAAAACAAGACACATAACCACATTACCACAAGAGCAATTACGATTTAAACTTACATATAAATATACATAATATATTATTATATAAATAATATGTGTAATATATTTTTATATAAATAATTATAATTTTTTTTTATTTCGAGTTAAAAGGAGCCTAACACAAGCAAACAAAGAGTTGTTCGTGTTCGGCTCGTTTACGAACGAGCCGAACACGAGCTACTTAACGAACCGAACACAAGCTGTTCGCGAAAAACGAGTTTTTTTAACAGCCTTATCACAAACCTACGGAGTTGACTATGAGGAGACATTTGCTCCAGTTGCTAAATTAAACATCATTCGGGTCCTCTTATCCCTTGCAGTGAATCGTGATTGACCCTTATTTCAGCTTGAAGTTAAGAATGTGTTCATGAATAGCGATCCTACAAAGGAGGTATACATGACTCTTCCTCCGGGCTTCACTCCATTGCCTCCCATGTAGACTGCGAAAATCCCTCTATGGATTGAAGCGATCACCACGACATGGTTCAAGAAATTTACAAAGGTGTGGTAGGCCAAGATTCACTCAGGTTCAATTGGATCACACTCTCTTCTTTCAGTATTCCTCCAGTGGTTAGTTAACTATCCTTATTGTCTATATTGACGCTATTGTTCTCACGGGTAATGATATACCAGCATTGGAGTCTATGAAAGGCATCCTTGCAGTTTCCTTTGAAATGAAGGACTTGGGATCTCTCCAGTACTTGAAAGTTGCTCGGTCATCTCGGAGTATTTGTCTGTCTCAGTGGAAATATTTGATTGACCTTTTTGATAGAAAACAATCTTCTCCTGTGCAAACAAGTGGTTGTCCCAATATATCCAAATGAAAAACTTCTTAATGTTCTCAATGCAGCTCCTGTAAACAAAACTCACTAGCGCCTTATGAGGAAACTCATCTACCTTACCCATACGCACTCAGACATGTCTTACAGTTGGGACAATCAGTTAATTCATGCATGATCCCTATGAGCACCACCTTCAAGCTGTCCACCGGATTCTCCACTATTTAAAAGACACCGACCTCAGCTTTATTTTTTTTCCTGTCACACCTCTCGTTCTATTCCAATTTACACAGACGCAGATTAGGTCGGGTCCGCCCATGATCGACGATCTACCTCGGAGTATTGCTTATTTGTGGGGAAACATGATCATGTGGAAAAAAGCAAGAAGCTTGTAGTTGCTAGGAGCAGTGCAAAAATTGAATTTCGGTCAATGTCCCTGGGAATTTGTGAAGCTCTCTGGTTATGCATCATGCTCCACGAACAACGTATGAGAGTTTACGCTCCCTTACAGTTGTTCTGTGATAACAAGGCTGTCATTAACATTACTTACAACCCGGCCCGACCCAGCATTATCGCATTAAGCATATTGAGATTGACTGATATTTCATTAAGGAAAAGCTCGAGTCCAAAAAAGTTTGTGCTTCACTTGTGCAGTCTAGTGACCAGCTGATAGATATTCTCACAAAGAACATTTCTTAGCCACTGTCGATAATTTTAAATCTAAGTTAAACATGACTAACATTTATGCTTCAAATTAAGAAGTATTATAATATTAGAATATTAATATGCAGAATTTTGTATTAATTGCTTGGATTTGTTTTTATGTACTTTATTTTTTTTTCCTTTTATTCTTTTTTTATTTATTTCTTTACTAGTAAGTCATGTAATGGGTATTTATAGCCTCATTGCATCAATACGATTACACTGGTTCTATTCTAACAAGGAACTACAACCATAGTCCATCACATGGATAAGCAATAAGCAATAAAATGAAGGAAAAGCTTTATCCATAATGGCAGCACTATAGACATCAGAAACTAAATAATTGGAAACACACTCAAAGTGCGCTCATCCACATGCACGAAACTAGGATCAAATCAATTTTGAATGTCATCCAATAATCAAATGCAGATGTTGCTTCCATTTTAAAATTTTTATACTTTTGTACACATTCATTTTGATTTTATATAAGTAGAGATGGTAGCAAACTTGTGGCCTCTCATTTCCTTCTCTCTAAATATGCAAGAATACAGAATTAATTGAAATTTGATAAAACATTTTTCAAAATCTTGCAAGTATTTTTCATAGTAGTTATATATTGCAGAAGTTTTAGTATGGTTGGACTGAAAAATAAATTAGAAATCTAAGGCAGCCATTTTTTTAAGAAAATCAGTTGAGAAGAATAAAAAAAAGAAATATTCCTTATTACATTTTCCGAGTGACAAAGAACACATGCATCAGAAGTGAGGATGTTTCTTTTGGCTAAAATGCTTGTAGCCTTAAGGCCATCACTAATAAGAAACTAGGAATTTATTAAAATTTAATGAATTTTTTTTTGTGCCATGTCCAACCTGCAAGGAAACTTTAACAAGGTTACGAAAATGTAAGAGAACAAAATAATTAAAAGAAGGATCTTTCAAACCATCCACGTAGATGAATTCTTCGTGGTGACTGATAGTTGTTTGGTCGAGAAGAATAATAAGAGTAAGATCTACAATGAAGTTTTGAAGCCACCAACCATTAGGTGTGACGATGGGCTAGCAGAAGAAAATGAAAAATATTGGAAGGGTCATAGTCAAATATATCCATTAGTGATTGATCTTGAAGCCAAGGGTTCTAGTAAAGTAAAAATGAGAAATAATTCACAATGGAGCAAGAGATGGGTTACTTAAGAAAGAAATGACAACTTTAGAGTAAAAGAGCTGATGATAGACATCGAAGAAATGTTCATTCAAAGAGAGGTGCCTGATTCTATTTCAAGAACGCAGAAGAAGATCATATAAGAGAATATAAAGTTTTTACAAGTAAGAATCTTATCAAAGCTATGAAACCCTCTAATGTTTCAAACCCCTCTAGCTGGGTAAAGTATCGAGGAATTAATGGGATTTGCTAAAAATATTATTTCTGGCTTTCTTGGGATTTTCATGGTTTACTTTTGGGAAAGAGGCTGCCCGATTTACAGAAGCAGTTGAAGAAGGCCCATGGAGAGAACTTCTAAAGAGAAGAAATTTATGAAGAACAGTGAAGTGAAATTTAGCAGTGTTCTTCTTGACTATGTGAATAGATTGTCAATCTAAAACAGCGCAAAATTCATGTATTACATACAACTTAAATCTGTTCAAGCATTCAGCAAAATCAAGCTAAAATGTAATTGAACTGAAAAAGATCTCTAGAAGAAATGTATTTAGGAGTAATTTGTAAATGCCATATTTCTTCAAGATGATATATAGAAAAAACAGATTTAGGCGTAAATGCCATTTTACTTCAAAATACTCATTAGCCAAAGCTCAGACACATAAATGATGAAGAATAGTTGCATGATTCTCCTTAAGAATTACCTCAATCGGCACACCTTTGTTTCCTGGTGGCAGAGGAATTCCAATGCCATCTCCCCTTGGATATCGGAAACACGATGGTCGGTCATTAATAGCTGCTGCTGTGGCCACCATGTGAAACAGTTCTGCCTCATCAGAAGGAGCCATCACTATCATATTCGGCAAACATGCCATGTAAGTTACATCAAATGATCCACAATGTGTAGGTCCATCAGCCCCAACAAGGCCCGCACGGTCTAAAGCAAACCTCACAGGGAGCTTCTGCAAGTCCACATCATGTATCACCTATAACAACAGCAAGATCTGTCTATTTGACCTCTTTTTTTCTTTGAGAATAAATCAAGTTTATGTTGCTTGCCACAGTTGAATTTATTAAGAAACAACTGATGAACATAGGAAGAACTAATTTGTGGAGAAAAGAGAAGGTTCCCTTAACCTGATCATAAGCTCGCTGAAGGAAAGAAGAGTAGATTGCACAAAATGGCTTTAATCCCTCACAAGCTAAGCCAGCAGCAAAAGTGACAGCATGCTGCTCTGCAATTCCCACATCAAAGCAACGGTTTGGAAAGCGGCGGAGGAAGTAGTTGAGTCCTGTTCCCCCGCCCATAGCAGCATGTATTGCAACAATGTTCTTGTCCGCTTCTGCTTCTGCTATAAGAGCCTCAGCAAAGTAATTGGTATAAGACTGAGTCTTGGCACTTCCTTTGAATTGCTTCCCTGTAGCTGGATCAAATTTGGCCACACCTTTAAGAAAGAAAGAAATGGCGCTGTCATTGCATATTTCCAATCAAAGTAATATTGACTAAACTTCTTTGGCGACAATACCATGATACTTATCTGCTGCTCTCTCAGCGTAAGGATACCCTCTTCCTTTCTCGGTCACAACATGAATTAAAACTGGTCCAGTTGTTTTGGTGCTTTTCACTTCCTTAAGAATGGTGATTAGATCATCCAAATTATGGCCATCAACTGGTCCTATGTAGTAGAGCCCTAGCTCTTCGAACAGGGATGAGTTGGATCCGCTGATCATTCCTCGAGCATATTCATCAACTTTTGCCGCAAATTCATGCATAGATCCACCAATCTGCTTTGTGACCCCCTGAAAGAATTGAAAGATTGGACTTATAATTCACTTACTGGAAAGGTTTAAGAAAAAAAAAAGAGAAGCTTTTAGAACAGGGAATGCAGCATTCAAGGCATTTGTAGCATCATCATATCGTGGTTGGAAGCATAAAATCACCAACAAATTAACTTTGTTTTTTAACACAAAACATGCATGTATCTGAAGGCACCTCACATGTCCCATGTCAAAGTCCATTTTGACTTATTTCAAATCAGCTGAACAAGTATTTAGTGCTAATACCAAAAGCTTTCTGCATCTACGAGTTACATAAAAACTAGGGTGATGAGATGCTTCTAATAAGGTAGATCGGGAGACATTAGCCAATCTCCAATAGGAAGGCCTGCCTTCACCAAGCTCAGGCATATTGGATTAGTTGTCAGAGATCTCTGCAAAAGGGTCTTGGCCTCAGAAAATAGCAAAAGAATTATTCATATGATATTGCAATGGGTATTTATAGAAGACACTGGGGCTTTGCTAAATAACAAGAATTAGGCTCTGTTTGGGGCTGCATTTTTCGAGCGTCGCGGCCCCAAACCGGAATGTTAAAAAAAAATTTGCGTGCTTTTCTTCCGCGGCAGCGTTCGATTGCCGCTAAAAAGGAAGAAAGCCGGCCGCGGGGTCGACCCCGTGGCCTGGCTTTCTCGTGGAGTAAAGTCGAGCAGTAAAGGCTCGTTTGCCCCGCTCCAAATCCCCGCTCATTTGCCCCGCTCCAAATCCCCGCAATGAACCCTAACCTAATTCGGGAAACCGCTGCTTCTTCCTCCCTTCGCGAAGACTCCCCCTGCTCCTCCCCATGTTCGGGAAACCGCCGCCCCGCTCGATTGTTCCGCTCTGAAGCCCCTGCTCGTTGCTCCCTTCGCGAAGACTCCCCTTCTCCTCCTCCTGTTCGGGAAATCACCCCTTCTTGCTCGATCGGCCCTCTCGATCGTCCCGCTCTGAAGCCCCTGCTCGTTGCTCCCTTCGCGAAGACTCCCCCTTCTCCTCCCTCTGCTAGGCCGGCCGCTGCTCGCCTTCCACCGTCGTCGCTCGGGTGTTTTGTGCTGATGGAAGTAGGGCTGTAAACGAGCCGAGCTTGAGCGAGCTCAGGCTTGGCTCGTGTTCGGCTCGTTCGAAATAGCTCGTGTTCGAAATCGGCTCGTGTTCGAAATCGGCTCGTGAACAGTGTGTTCGTGTTCGGCTCGTGTTCGGCTCGAAATTGGCTCGTTAAACTAAAATTGAGAAAAATAGATGTAAAGTGTGGGATTCGAACCTGGATTAAATATATACAAAAGAATACACTAACCACATTGTCACATGAGGTGTTATGATTTAAACTTACACATAAATATATATAATATATTATTATATAAATAATATAAGTAATATATTGTTATATAATTTTTTTTTCGAGCCATTTCGAGCCGAACACGAGCGAACAAATTGTTGTTAGTGTTCGGCTTGTTTACATTTCGAGCTTATTCGTGTTCGGCTCGTTAGACTTAACGAACGAGCCGAGCACGCGCGGCCGGCTTAACGAGCCGAACACGAGCTGTTCACGAACAACGAGCCAAATTAACAGCCCTAGATGGAAGCAGCTTGCCCTGTTCCGCCCCGCTAAAAACCGAAACCTGAAGCTGGTATTTCTCCTCCCAAATTTTTAGCCCATATTTTGTTGTTGTTCTTTTATTTAGACAATGTGCTCTGCAAAATGGATGAATAACAGCTGCAATTAACATCAAAAGAAAATATTAGATATATACTTGCATGAACTAGAACTTATGATTTTTACTCTAATTTCAAAATTTATCAAACTTGCATGATAGAGTGCTAGATATGTTCTCTCTATAGTTCTTTGGTACTTATATGGATCCGCTAAACAGGACAAGTCTTTTGTTTATGTATTTATTTTATCTTTTTTTTTATAATTTAAATGGTATTGGATTGCTAGCATGATTGTGATTTTATCCCATCTACCTTCTCTACAATATGTTTTATCCTTGATAACTCTTATTAGTTTCACAAACCTTTCATGCCTGATTCCAGTTGAAATTTGCACTCATGGACATTTCTTATATTTCTACCATTGATATGTTGCACATAATTTAATTTTTCTATTTGAATAGTTTTTGTACAAACACTAGTTTTTTTTCTCTTTCTGCTAGAGCAGAGCTTCTCATTTATTGGATCATAAATTGTTTGGACTAACATTATAACCAATGTTTTTCTACAATTTGACATATTCTATATTCTATTTTTGAGAGCTTCCCATTTATGGGACATTTCTTATATTTCTCTCATTGATATGTTGCACAGAAGTATAGTAATTGATATTTGCACAAGATTGATTTGATTTTTTACTTTGTAATTGATTTTAATTTTACGTTTTATGGCTTTGTTTTGATTTAGTCATAACATAAATAATAAATCTAAAGAGGTTGCTACACTGGCATTGTGGGAAAAAGAAACAAAAATACTATTTTGCGATCTTTGCCTTAAAGAGATTGAATGGAGAAATAGGCCTACGACCTTTTTCAATAAAGAAGGGTGGCAAAATATTATCAGATGTTTCAAGGAATGTACAGACAGGGAGTACGACAAGTTGCAAATGAAGAACAAGTGAGACCAACTGAAGAAGGACTGTAAAATTTGAAAAGAATTGAAGAGGGGATCTATGGGTCTGGGTTGGGATCCAGTGAAACGAACAGTTGATGCACCTGATGAATGGTGGGCTAACAGACTTGCGGTGAGAATTTTTTATACACTTTGTAATTTTGTATCTTCATATGTTTATTATTAATTAGGTGTTTATCAATTTCCATGTAGGTGGTGCCCGCTGCAAAGAAGTTTAAGTTTTCTAGTATAGAACCTGAATTTGAGGAGAAACTCGATCGCATGTTTGAAGGCGTGGTTTCCACAGGGACCTATGAGCAGTGTCGTGAATTTGGAAACCCCCGGAGATTCAGTTGATTTCATTGACGTCCCCAACCCGGATCAGAATGAATATGAAACAATTTCCCGTTCCAAACGTCCAAAGGTTTTTGGTAAAAGAAAATCTGATGTTTCTTCCCTCAGAATTGAGCTATCCGAGGTGGTTTCTTGTTTCAAGGCAGAATGTCAGGCTTCTCATTCAAGCACTATCGAGGAGGCACTTGAAATCTTAAGCGCTACAGCCGAAATTTATGCAGATGATTTATATCTATTCGCAGCAGAATTAATAGAGGACCCGATTCGTAAAGATATCTTTGTGAAGATGTCTGCCGTCCGCAGAGTGGCATTTATTCGGCGTTTTTATAATCGCTTGAACAATTGAGATGTTTTATATTTTTCATCATTAGAACATTTCTACTGCATTATCTTTTATGATCACTTGAGCATTTAAGTTATTTTATTTTATTTTAACTAGAATATTTTCATTGCATTATTTGTTTATTTCTTTCTAGAGTTGTACTTGTGGACTTTGTTGTACCCTTCTAATTATATGCAAACATCTTTTTTTTGTCTCAAACTCTCATGCACTTGTCATCCTATTTATATTTAGGGATAATGATCACCATGGATGCAAATAGAATAAGAAAAATAGAGGATCACATGGACTCACGAAGAAGAAAGCGGAGAGACATGTTTCTGACGGTAATATGTTTGATGCACGAGTACTACAACACGTACATTGATCGGTCGCCATGCATGACATCTTCATATATTGGCGATAAATGTGTTTTAGAGTTGCTTACGGGGCACCCAACAAGATTTTATATGTTTCGAATGAGAAAGACAATATTTATCGATCTCCTGGAATTACTTGTAGGAGCTCACGGTCTTCATGGATCTTCGAGGACCACTCCACATGAGGTGCTCGCAATAACACTATTTATATTATCCCACAATGAGTTAATGCGAGGAGCGATGAAGCGGTTTCAGCACTCATCGAAACAATAAGCAGGTACTTCTCAATTGGTTTGAGCGCACTTGTTAGCATGTCCTATCATGTCATTAGACCCATAGATTATAAGTTCGAGCAAACACCTGCTGAGATATCGAAGGATGCGCGATATATGCCCTTCTTCAAGGTATTCAATCAAATGCAATATAGTTAATTTTGTTAGAGTTTCCAATGATATGTCGATACTAACATTAACTCAAATAGGACTGCATCGGCGCGATTGATGGAACACATGTTGACGCACGTATCCCAAATAATGATAAGGTTGCATTTATCGGTCGTTGTGGTAGCCCCACCCAAAATGTCATGGTCGTTTGTGACTTCAATCTGTGTTTCACTTTTGCTAAGGCTGGTTGGGAGGGCAGTGCACATGACAGTCGAGTTTTTAAATCTGCGACGCGAAATCCAAATACCAAATTTTCACATCCACCTACAGGTATGCTCGGGATTGAGATCATTGAATTACCAACTTGAATCTTAATATTAATTATTTGATTTATCAGGCAAATACTATTTGGTCGATGTTGGTTACCCATTGCAACGAGAGTATCTAAACTCATTTCCTGATACGAGATATCACATACCAGATTTTGCACGTACAAACAACATTACACGAGGCAGAAAGAAAATGTTTAATAAAAGACATTCATCGTTACGTGGCGTAATTGAGAGGACTTTTGGTGTGTGAAAAAAGAAATGGATGATAATCCGTGATACGCCTCCATTCAATTTCTCCAAGCAGGTGCAAATTGTGTTTGCTACAATGACCCTCCATAATTACATTAGAAGACATCATTCACGTAACGATATCCGTAACGATATCGACTTACGATATCGACTTTCATTTGGCGGAAGAGTATGACGAAAATGTGTCTGTAGAAGTTTTTGAATATCGTATAGGTCAGTCGTTCACAGAAGTGGAGAATGAGGCTTCCACCACCTGTACTGTAGACGGGGAAGGAGCAAGTGAAAAGCGAAATGACAGAATTGCGGGAACGGATAACTGATGCAATAGTAGGAGCATGATTGGATTAAAGTAGCGTTTATGGATGATAAATCATGTTTATTTTGGATTTGAATAAACATTTATTATGGACATCATAAAAGGACCTTCTTTCAAAGTATGACATTCTTTCAAAGTATTTGGTGCACTTCTAGTTTTCCTAATTGTAGGTGACATTTTGGTATTTCAATGTATATATTTAGGACCTTCTTTCCTAAATGTAAATTTGTTTTTTGCTGCAGCTGAAAGTTGACAGGTGAAAATTTACTTTTGCTAACAACCCATTTGTTCTGGACTTAGCTAAAATTTATGAAAAATTGATTTGTTTTCCACTGAAATGATTGGTCATCTGTTCTAAGGCATTTTTAGCTATGAATTTTAATGTGGTTTCCTATTGACACTAGGCTTTCTTTGTATCCAATGTAACACTTAGTGAATGCTTTCTAAATTGTCATACACGTATGAAGTTTGATGTATAAAAATGGATTATTTGGTGAGCCTTTAGTCTTTAGTCCTTATTTCTATATTTATCTATCAATCTTTTCCTTTGATCCAAACAGTGGTGGAATGAATGGATATCTGATTTTTTAATGAGCTAATGTTGATTGTTTAATATTGAATTAATATTTAAGAAATGTCTTCATTTGTTTAATGGATATCTGACTGCACCAAACTTGCTGAATAGGAGAAGCTTTTTATGGCTTCTCTGTTTTATTTTGTTCAATTTCGGGCCTAGTGGAGTAATGGGTAAGTAGAAATGTTCAGGAATGAATTCAATGGAACTGCACCATATGCCCTTGGAGATGTGCATGGCTACGTGTAGTTATTTAGATTGACATACAGGAAAAAGTTTTCTCTGGGAATTTATGAACTATGCTTGGTTTATTGCATGTTTGCTTGCATACCACACAAATCTTTGGCAGTGCTTTTGATATGATGTTAAAGATTTGTGTGGTATGCATGCAAACATGAATGTTTAGGTGTTAGATATGTAAATATATAAGAATTGTGTAATATGCATTGAGAATTATCCTCCTGATTGCCCTGCTGTAAGTTTTTTTACCATGTGTTGGGTCTCCCGTACATGATACTGACGGTTGCCGATGGATGTCCCTCGAAAATTGTTAGGGCTCCAACCATTAAGCTCCTCTTTTACCAAAATCCTTATACCCATTTCTGTCCTTTCATATATGCACCACCTGATTTTCTTATACACATCTCTTTTGTGCTTGTTTAATCTTTCATTATATTTGATATTATTTTTATTTCATATTATTTGTTGGAACTATTAAAATAGGCTTGGTTATTTGGTGGGCTTCTTTTATGATATTGGGCTTCAGCACATCAGCTATTCTGTCTTCCATTGCTGATATTACTCATGTTTTCAAAGCTATTGAGCTCAACATTGTTTCTGTTAGTAGTTCTTAATTAAAAATTGTGATATAAACTTTGTTATAAAAATTCAATGCATGAAGGAATTGGCATCAATTTATTTTATTGCACTTGGAGGAATACTCTTTGTAGATTATGCATCGAATTGTTACTCAAAGAGGCATTTTTTGTTGCATAAAATTAGATCTTTCATTTGATGGATTTTTATGGGAATGTGGATGTGATCCTGGAGATGTGTTTTAGCTTCTTCGGCTCTTTATACCATGTGTTTCGTGTTGTTTTTTATTTGGGGGCATTTACATGCATACCACACAATTCTTACGTTTTTACATATGTAACACCTAAATTCTAATATTTACATGCATAACACTCAAAACTTTAATATTATAGGAAGAATATCAATCTCACCTACATTTTAAAATTTAAATGCACCATTTCATGCATATTTTATAAATGTATATTTTAAAAGTGAAATGCACCAATTTTTATTTGAACTTTTTCCTTATATGTATCAAATTTATGGCTTCTGGGATTAGCTAAAAATTGTAGAAGTCTATTTTTTACATTTTTATCTTGTAAAGTGAATTTCTATTTCTGTTATATCATATATAAGACTGTCATTGTTCTGTTCCAAACAGTTTAACTAAACAGTGGCAGAATAGTCATTTTTCCAGAAACAACTGTCACACAGCTGTAACAAACAACCAGACTGCTTCTTCGCAGCAGCTTTTTGGGGCAGCGCAGCTGCAGCTGAAAAGCTGAGAAGCTGCAGTTGCGCCAAACAGAGCCATAATTAGTGGTCACCTACAAGCTTCAGATGCTTCCTTCCTAGTAAAAGTTTCTCTTAATCCGCCACCTCTATTAGCTCCAGATCAACAGTAAAATGGGTAGTGTTCCCACCCATTTGGCATAATAAAGGTTCCAGGTAAAGATGGTCTTGTGGTGTGCATGGACCAAAGGCAAACCCTCAACCAACAAAGAATATCCAACTAAGCTCTAATACTAATTTTCATTAGGAATTTAAACTCACTAAAATTATAGTAGTTTCTGGTAGCATGCTAAAACACCGACAACTAGTTTTGATGCCCAAGCAAAGCACAAAATGCACGACTTGATCATAGAATATAAAGATGCAATGGATCACAAGTATGGGAAATCAATATTCCAACTAATGTATCAAACCAGGTTATGGGACTTGTTGCTGATTTAGAAGTCCTTTTTTATAAGTATGCCTATCATAAATGCCCATGCGTACTAATAAAGCTAACTTGCCGCATACAAGATTGGCGATAGCATTTGCATGCATTTGCTAGAGATTAAATATGTTGACTATCACGAGACACATGTGAGCGCATTATTCAACATCCATGTATTTACAAACCATTATATCCTCTTTAAACAGTTTTATTAACATTTTAATCATACTTCATGTATATTGGAAATTAGATTGCATGGTCTTCTAACCAGATGATGCAAGCTAAGTTTTAATTGGGTGTGTATGAAATCATGTACAAAATAAATGAGCTTAGCTCGCCTAAGATTACTGATTCAAAGATCACTTACCTTGGCTACCTCCCTCAGCTCTCTAAGAGGTCTGCTTGATTGCAGTTTACTGAGGGCACTGCTTAGAGCTCCTACGGGTGGTATTGGTCCGTCAAGATTAGCAGTGGGAAGGGATACCTGCTTATTGTCATTAAGTATAACAATCATGTCAGAGTCAAGATACCCAGCATTGTTCATTGCTTCATAAGCTTGCCCTGCCGTCATTGCTCCATCCCCAATCACTGCAATCACATTGTTCTTCCTCCCCATTAGATCTCTTCCTACTGCCATCCCTGCTCAGAAAACTAAATACAATGAATAAAAAATAAACTTCGGATTAGATCATATGCATTGTTCTTCTTATTCCATCACTTCTCATCTTCAAGCAGTCAAAACCCCTCATCTCCTTTTGCATAGAGCGATAGTAATTTTTTAAAATGATTTAAAACATCCTATATTGAGGAATAGGCAAAAACTTAATTAAGCAATGAGTGTGAAAAATATTAGAGAAATAGAAAAGAAGACCAATACAAAAAAATATACAATTTCATCCAATTGCTGGCTCTGCCAAGTTATCACCTGTTCATATTTCACTATGATTTTCCTGTAAAGAATTGCAACCCTAATGCAAAAATAAAAAGATTCTCATAAAGGAAGATAAATATTTTTTTTTCAAAAAATGCTGAAAAAAAATAACTGATAGAACTGCATATAAGAAGGGGTTCAGAATTGCATGTTACCAAGAGCTGCTGAAATGCTGGTAGAACTATGACCGGTGCCAAAGGAATCATATTCACTCTCTGAACGCTTAGTGAATCCAGATAATCCATTGGTCTGCCTCAAAGTCGGCATCTTGTCCCTCCTACCTGTCAAGATTTTGTGTGGGTAGGACTACATCCAACATACAGATATATTTAAGATCAAACAATGGCCTGGAAACAAGGCTACTGTTTTGTAACTAGATTTCCTACTACTATTATTAACTGTACCTGATGGCCAACATCCCATACTATCTTGTCCATGGGAGCATTGAAGACATAATGGAGAGCCACAGTCAGCTCCACCACACCAAGACTAGAACCGAGGTGGCCGCCTGTCTTAGATACATTGAAGATGACATCAGACCTTAGCTCATCTGATAGTTGCTTGAGCTCCTGAAATCATAGGAAAAAACAGTTAAGATTACCTCTCACATAACCAGAGGAAAACTCTTTAAAGGTGTTTGAGAGGATCTTTGTCTGACCTTCATGGAAAGATTTTTCATATGGATGGGATAGTTAATTGTATCCAGTAGGGGGGTGGGTGGCTTCTGCGAGTAGTATTCTCCTGAATCTGACAGTGCTGCACGGACATACGCCTTTTTCATTTCCTGGTAGCCAGAAGAACCAATCCATATTTATCAGAATTTCAAAAGGAAAAAACCCATCTAACCATCACAATTCTCAATAGCTTATCTGATACCCATTATTTTCCAGCTAAAATGAAAAAGCCACCTCATTATTCTCCAATTTGGAGAGAAAGGAGACTTCTTAGCAGAAATTGAAGTACCAATGATGGCGATACAACTAAGAAAAAGATATAAGATGGAAATACATTTTCTGAGTTAAAAAAGAAGGGGAAAAAAAAAACCCTACCTTTACCTTCCCATGTTGATGCTGATAAGTTTCTGAATGAAAACCACGGAGTAATCTTGAGGAAGAAAGTGGAGACTGGCTCGTGCATCCAGAAACTATGCTTCCAGCGGGGAGCTGGCATGGATAAAAGAGAGCGGAGAGATTCATTGGGTACCGAAGTATCAATAAAAGAGTTTCAGAGGAATTGCATAAATAGAGGATTAAGGCCAAGAAGAACAGGAGAAAAGAAGGACGGCAGAAGTTAGAGAGATGAAACACTATTAGCACTTTTAGTTTTATGGATCAGCAAAATCTGTCTTTGAGAAGGCCTGATAGAGGTGTGTGGCTGAGATTAACTAGCTATGCAAGTAGAAAATCAGCTGAGACAGTCTTCTGTCTCTTTGCCTCAGCTGTCTCTATCTCACAACGTTCCAGTCCAGCACCTATGGTTGGCAAGCTTACCCAGCTTGGAGAACCTTTCCTTAGTATAAATTGAACTCCATGCCTACACATTCATATACTTTTATAGCAGCAGTCACATGTTCATCGTATAATTATCCTACACATTCATATACTTTTACAGCACCATTCACATGTTCACCGTATAATTATTATATATTTCTGTATCTAACACCTAATTTTTTATATTTAGCATTTAAATCTTTTATGATTATTTTTTAAATATATATATATGTTTACATGGATAAATTTATGACATCTTGCAAATATAAGTATCTTATATACATCAAAATTGTATGGTATATTGGTATGTTTTATGCATTTAATTTTCTCTTTTTGTTTTAATGTACAAAACTATGCTAATCAAGCATAATTTTAGCAATTTTTTTGTGCGATATATTGAAACTTAGTAATCTTGTATAATATTATATTAAATCACATTGAGCTGTTTGATTAAATCATCATTTCACAATTTTATGGTTTGTGTGATCGTATGGGTGTGCATATACAAGCATATATTTATTTATTATTTATCAATTTATTTATTTATAAAAAAGAATTTCAAATATATATTTCTTCTATTTTAAATATTTTTATTATTTTAAAGAAGCAAAAAAACTTATGTTTTATTCAAGATCAAACTTTTTATTTAATTAGCATAATAATTGATGCATCATCAATAATATTTTTTCATCTAGCATGAATCTTGAAGCACTTTTAAGAAATGAATGTTTCATATTGAAATTCAGAATTATTTAAGTTTCTGACTTCGGGAAGTTCATAATAATCAAGTTGATCGTTTATACATGGCAAACACGATGATACCCAAATTAGTTTGAAATGAGTCCAATCAAAGCCCAAATCAAGTCATTAAACTAATTTGGAGGTTTTGGATCGTCAAATGAATCATGAATTTGACATATTTATATTTAAATCGACTGTATCGATTAGAGGAATCTAAATAACCTAAGCTCGCTTAAAACCAATGTCATGAAGGCTCTCAAATCATTAAAATACACCCTATGATCAATGGGGTTCAATATGGATTGTTTGATTAAATAGTTGAGTCGGGAAATTATTTGCAAAAGGACCAACATGTTGTTCCCCTAGAGCCTATAAATAAACCCTCTCTCTTCAATTGAGGGGGCGAGAAGAAGGGAAAGAATTATAGAGCGTCTTCCAGACTAGAAATCTGACGATAACTTTTGACCCCCGTAATCACTACTCACAGTCAACCACCGTTGGCTGGCCGCTCCTGCTCATCGTTGTTGGTGACCCCTGCTTGCTAACATTGTATCTTGAATGTGGTTGTAACATATGATCCAACGATATATAACTTATGCCCTCTATACCCGCCGACCACCATTGACCACCGCTCGTCAGCCACCTATCAGTCACCGTCAAATGTCACTACTTATCACTAACCATTACTTGTAAATGTTGTCTTAAATATGGTTGTAACATATAATGGTCGTTGCCCGTCTCCATCCGCCATCGTCAACCATCTGCTAGCAACCACCACTTTTAATGACCAACGTAGCCAAAATATGATGTTTTTTTTTAAATATATGTATCTTTTTTTTATTTTGTACCAACAAATATTGTCTCTGGTATCAAATTATACCCTCGTCTTAATATAAGGTGTTCAACCACCAACTATGGCTTATGTGGCAAACTGCTATTGAATCATCTTCCAACCACAACCTTTGTAGCCAATTGACACTATTACATTCACTGCCTCCGCCCTTTGTGGCCCACTACTACTTGTACATGAACCAACTACAACATTTGTGGCTAACTGGTACTGTTACAACTTTTAACTATTGCTTTTGTGGTCAGCTGACGTATTACTGTAACCAACTACGGCTTATATGGCAGCCACTACGACTACAACTTCCAACCATGACTTTTGTGACCAATTATTGTTTGTGCATCAACTAATTAAAGCCTTTATGGCTAATGACTACTGTTATAACTTATAATTGCAATATCTATGACCAACTGCCACTATTATAGACACAGACTACAACTTTCATGATCAATTGCATTTATTATATCCAAACTATGGCTATTATAGTTGATCTACTATTGCACATTTGTATTCATCAACATTGTAATTGTATCTTCTCTAATTAAGGAGAATAATAGATCTGCATACTTACAATCACATGGTGTAATACTCTGAATGAGTTAAGTCCGTTGATTTTTCTCTTTTATGGATTTTTTCACATAAAAATTATAATGTCTCATCGTGCTACTTTTCTAGTATTTATATGTGTTAGATTTTCAAGCAACGCTAAGATTTAAAATTTTCACTCTCATGTCGTGAAATTTTCAGCATGAAACAATGCTTTTTAAGTATTAACTGCAGATTATTTTCTTTGTTTTCTTGCATCTATTGCTTAAGTAATATAAAACATCGTAAAAACAAAAGGGGGTTCTTGCATACACATGACCCAATTCTTATGCATTTATATCTAAGCGCAAAATTTTGTTTTGTTTACTGTTGTGAAAAACGACAATAATAAAATGAAAAATGGAATGAGAAAAAATTACACGTAAAAAAACATCAGAGCGACACACAGATTTAAGTGGTTCGGCAAATTTGTCTATGTCCACGGAGCTGCAGAAGATTTATTTCTTTGAGGAATTACACTGTCGAGCGCCTTGACGTTTACAATAAAATCTCTATTTTTTTCTCTCCCTTCCTCTCTCTCTCTCTCTTCCTATATTTCTCTTAGCTCTCAAGAGGACTTGGTTTGGCCTTGCTTAGCTTGCATTCCCTTAAACCAAAAGAAACTATTTATAGAAATCATGAGAGCGGTAGGTGGGAGGTAGGTGAGCGGTAGGTGGGATGTGGTAGGTGAGTGGTATGTCACGGACAAATAGTCCCACATTGGTTAGGTGTAGGGCCGAAAAACAGTATTTAAGTCCTGGGCTGCCCACATCTCTTAAGGGCTCTTTTGGGAGGTGACAAGTGGTATCAGAGCAGATTACTGCCTGCCAGGTGTGTGGACTCTCCATGGTCCAGTGGGACCCTCGGTGGAGCCGATCCGTGACGAGGGCGTCACGTGATTGGGTGGAGGAGAATGTCACGGACAAATAGTCCCACATTGGCTAGGTGTAGGGTCGAAAAGCAGTATTTAAGTTCTGGGCTGCCCACCACCCATAAGGGCTCTTTTGGGAGGTGACAGGTAGGTGAGTTGTGGTAGGTGAATGGTAGGTGGGATACTTAATTAAGAAGCTAATTAAATTCGGTAGATCGGGTCTCCACATTACCCAACAATTCTACCACTTTGAGACTGAGACATTGAATGCATCACCTACTAGCTATACCGACATTTTCCTCAAACATGATATCCTCCACATCTGCAACTCGAAGCTTCTATCTTCATGTTAGAAGACCAACTGAAGTTGAGCACAACTTCAGCTTCTTACTAGTAACACCCTCAGTTGACATATCACCGTCAACGTAACATTATACCTCCAACCATACCTCCAACCTCTTTCTTGGGTTACTCTTGTATCTGCTTATAACTCCCACTGCATGAGCAATGTTCTGCCCCTGTTGAAAGCCCTTTTCAACAAGTTTAGCCTTGTACCTCTTACTGGCACCAAGCACAGTCTTCACCCGGTACACCCACTTGTTGTGCAAGCTCTTCTTTCTTGGTGGAAGAACTGCTAGCTCCCAAGTTTGATTCCCTAATAGGGAATTCGTCTCCTCCTTTTTTAAAAGCTCTCACTTGCTCGAATTCTCATCTTGCAAGATTTCTTCATAACTCTATGGTTCTCCACCATTTGTCTGTAAAAGGTCCAGTTTTCCTGTCTTTGGGGCTCTACACTTTTCAGGAAATTGACCTTATTCTGCTTCCTCATAATGCATATCTGACTCATGTGTCCTCGTCTGAGTAAACCTGTAGTATATATAGTGTGTCAGTTTTCTTACCCCGAGCTAATATTAATGCTCATTTGGTAACCTTCCAGGTGCTATCTGAGAACATCACTGAATGACCACTCTTATTGAGCTGCCCAACAGAGATGAAGTTTTTCTTCAACTCAGGAATGTGTCTGACCTTTTGCATTGTTCATTTGTTCTTATTAGGGAGTGCTCAACGTCTTCCATCTCTACCACGTTCAGAGCTTTTCCATCATCCAGATGTACCTTCCCAAAGTTACCTGCAACATAATTTTGCATTAACTCCTGGTGGGAAGATGTATGGAAGGAAGCCCTTGAATCCAGTATCCAATCATCAACATAACTGATAAATCAACATAACTGTGAATTGTCAGCAATAATGCATCATGTATTTCTTCAGTTACAACATTAGCGCCATCATTCTCCTTCTTCTTAGAATTCCTGCAGTTCTTTTTTATGTTGTCAGTCTTGCCATAATTCCAATAGGTTGCTTGCTGACCAGACTTTGAATTTGATCTTCCTCTGTTTGAGTTTTTGTCATGTGATCTCCCTCTAGAATCAACATTCAGCGCTGAACTTGAATCCGAGGTCTCACCATAATCTTTATTGCGCACCTCCTCAACCAAAATCAAATCATGAATATCATCATATTTTAGCTTAGATTTACCTGCATAACTACTAACAGTCATCCTCATAGCTTCTCATATATTTCACAATGAAGCCAATAATATTAGCGCACGTATCTCATCATTAAAATCAATTTCAACAGACGATGTGAATGTATTGAAATCATTCAGGTGTTGAGCAACAGAGACACATTCCATCATCTTCAAGTTGAATAATCTTCAAGTTGAATAATAACTTTTTCATCAATTGCACCTTGTTATTCGTCGATGTTTTTTCATACATTCCTGATAAAGCCACAATGAGATCTGCAGTAGTCCTCTCCTTGATGAAGTTGTGGGCAACCGATCTCGAAAAAGTTAATCGTATAACCCCCAGAACCTGTCGATCCAACATATTGCATTCCGCCTCGTCTATCTTTTTTGGTTGTTTTTTCAGTAACGGAAGATGAAGTTTCTTCCCATAGAGATAG